TCTAGACGAATGTCACGAGTGTTGCCGATGTAGCTGAAATAAGGGTACAAATTAACCAGCAACGGCGATTTGTTGTTCACTAGGAAGCGGATGATGGGGTTCAAAAGTGCTCCATATTCGGACTTGAACTCTCCGTTGGATGGAGGAAAGGAATTTCCAAGCACTCCAGTGTCTATGGCAGTGGAGACTTTAATTCCCAAACCAGCACTAGAAATTGCGTTCTGAATGTTTTGCATGGCCGGGACAAGAAATTGTGCATTGGAGTCTGAGGGCTTGACTTCATTTCCTACCGCAATGTATTTGAATCTTACATTGCCATAGTTTCTCACATTGTTTTGGACCCAAGTATTTGCATTGGCCTGGCTTGAGGCAAGGCTTTGAAGGTTGTCATTTGGAACGCCTAGCATGAGCTCAATATTAGAGCCTCTAAGGGCTGCTAGAGCAGCCTGGTTTGGATCATACAGTCGCATTCTTCCGATGTTATTTTGCTTGTACAGAGCAATAACTTCTGATGGGGGCGGTAAACGATCTCCAAGCATTCCATAACATACACCAATTTGGGCTCCTGCAATATTGAAGAAGAAATTATAATGAGGTTTTATGATACTGGAGAAAAGTTCACTAGATTTATACAATATAATTTGTCGCTAAAATGATCTTGAATATATTCAAGACCTATTTACATCAATGTCCCTTGAAACTAAGGTCAAATCTCACATTGCTCTCTGAAATTAAAAGTGGCCTACTTACCCCGCTCGACCATACTTCGGTGACCCAATTTGCCCCCCAACGTCAACTTCGTCCAAAAGTCTGTTAACTTTTGACTACGTGACATGGGTGTTTTTGTAATTTCGTATACACATGGACAAAATAAATAATAAATAATTTTTCAATTAAAAAAAAATTTAAACCGAACAGCATTCTTCCCCTCCCCCGCTTATCAATAACCTTGCACTTGAAAATGAAGTTTAAGTAGAAGCTATTAAATTCTGTTTTGCATGTTGTTTCCATCCACCCAGACATGGAAGCAACTCATAAGTTCGTTGGAAAAATCAAGTAATTGTGTAAAAGAAAAGTATCAGGCAACAGTTCCCACAGATCTTATAAACATTCAAATTTAGGGCAGGGGTTACATGTGAAGAGAGTGAGCCCGCCATTAAAAAAGCTTGACAATGATTTACAGTCCTAAGGAATAATTAGAGACAAGAAAAAAGAGGAAATATTCTCAAATGTGAGAAAGAAATTAACTTTAAGCAGGATCTATGGTGAAAAAAAGGAGGAAGATTCACTATTATACCCAATATAGGAGCCCAAATTTTTAGAAATAAAAAAAAAAACCCTATATTAAATGGACTTTAGAAGCACACCCAAAGTCCATTTACAATATAACAAAAAGACTTTTAACTTCTTTTAAATTACAAAACTGTCATTTATTTTTTAAAACAAATTCAACCCCAAAACCTCATAGAAAAGCCCAAAACACTCAATAGGGCATTAAAGGAATTTAATAATCAAAATTAAATGGTGTAGGGTTTATTTATATTTTTAGTGCCAAAAATGGGTATATTACTAAATATTTCAAAAAAGAAATTGTCAAATAGGAGCTCTTATAGGTACTCAAAGCAGGTTAAGAATTATAAAAACTATGTACCCTTCCAAGCCAATATAGGGACGAATCTTGCTCTCCTGATTCAACCAGCCCCCAGCTGCCTCCCCACCCAGCAGCCCCGACCCTCGCCACAAAACCCTCTGTTTTTTCAATTCTAGAAAGACGCATAATGCATCAACCAAAACCCCCATCTTCACTAAGTTCCAAGAAACTAAGCCTTCTCCTAAGAGTCCCTAACAGAGACGGGTCTGCAAGAAATTCCCAAAGGGGATCGAGAGATCTGCCTAGTCATGGTGATCTCTCCAAGGACAGGTCTGAGGGACGAAGATTCAGTGGTGGGTTCGATCGGGAGAGGAAAGTGGGGTTCTCGTGTAATGGGGGTGCTGATTCTGATAATTGGGGGAGGAAGAAGGAGAGTAATGGTGGGCTTGGAGAAGAAGGAAAATTGGGCCATCTAAATTGCTTGGTTGATTGCTTGGTTGATTTATTGTTATTGGAATTGGATTGCAATTTCTAATTCCATTGATCATATCTGAGGAAAAAAATTGGTACAGAAAATTTGGGAGGCAGCTGGGTGGTTGAGGATTGTAATTTCAGTATTGGTGGTGGATAATGATTCATCTGTATGAAATTACAAAAACACTCGTGCCACGTCATCAAAGTTAACAGATTTTTAGACGGAGTTGATATCGGGGGCAAATTGGGCCACCAAAATACGATTAAGCGGGGTAAGTGAGCCATTTTGAGTTTTCGGGAGCAATGTGAGATTTGACCGTAGTTTAAAAGGGCATTGGTGTAAATAAACCTATATTCAAATTGCTAAAGGATATCCAATTTGATCGATTTTCTATGTGGATCATTTTAAACGGGCTCAAAAAATGTATGAATTGTTTCAGCCAATGTAAAGTTCTTCAGGTTTAGCTCCATTAATTAAAGATTTTATGTTAAGCATAGGTTATGGACTTCTCGCCCATTAAATTGCATGTATGGTACCTATGAACAAAAATATGTAACCCACTAACATATTTAAAGTATGGCTGAGATTAAAATTCCTCAACAAATCATGCCTGCAGGTGTTTGTGTGTGGGTGTGGATGCATTTGTGCGAGAGAGATATACCTGTTGTTTCAAAGGTAGCCACCAGCAGCCCAAGTAGAAATACTATCGAAATCATTGAAGGGCCTCTACCGACTGATGAATTGGATTTAGCCATGATAATAAGGAAAAGATAGATATTCTAAGAAGTATTGCAAGTGTGCCTCTCCATGTTGCCTCTTGCTCTTTAATTTATAGACATCAGAGAGTGGCCTGCAACGACTAAGAATAGTCAATCCCTTGGTCAAGTGTTTGCTAATTAATCTTTTCCATCTTTCTCTAATGCATTTTTTGTGCTTAATTTGCATTATATTTCATGAGGGTTGCCTTATTTAATCATGGCTAAACCCAATAGTCTTTCAATGGCCTCAAATCCAATTTTCCTTTTATACAGGTAATAATGGGACGGAGTATTAATCGAATTAATTTAAGACCTCGAGTACAGAATAAATATTTTTAACAACTTGCACTAAAAGCCCTTATGTCTCAAGTCCACTTTCATACACTTCACATATAATTGTCTGGCCTCATAATATAATTAATGAACTTGTGGTGGATATATACAAGACAATTGAAGCCTAGATAGTGGGTGAGTAGGGCCAGACCAGTCTATAGAAGCTGCGATCCGTATTGCTTACCCTTGACTTCCAAATTTCGTGATGTTAATAAAGACAATATAAATGTAATAATGGCATGCGATGAGATGGTATTTGTGCTCATCCTTGACAATTGTATGTGGAAAAATGGGACTCAAAGTTTGGTACATTGCATATATGCCGACTTCCACCGGAGACATGATTACAAACATTATTGTATTTCTGGGAGCGATTTCTTCCCACGAGAATATTCGTTTGAACGATTCCTCTTTCCTTTTCGTCACCTCTTTCTCCTTGCAAAATAGATCCAAATTAGAGGACCACACCTGTGGGGTGTTGGCCAAATGCCCTCTGATACCTAAGTCAGTTCAATTGATTCGTAGAGAAAACAATAGCTAAATAACGTACGAAGATGTATATGCAAGGTGTAAACCGGGTAGTTGGAGGTGGTCGGAGCCTTGTGTAAGAGGGAGAGAAAGTGTGGCGGCTAGGGTTTGTGAGAGGAAATTTCTGTAGAGCTTCAGAGAGAATTTCTGCAGAGGGCTTGTGGCTCAAGGTCAGTTGCTCGTTTGCTGATCTTAACCAGTTCATAGAGGGAGTGATGGGGGTCTTCTGGTAAGAACCGTCAGTTTCCTTTGTAGAGCTTTCTTGATTTGACTTTTCTGTACTTGAAAACCGGCTGGCAACTTTGATCTTTTCTGGTTTCGGAGGCTTCAGTACAGCTTGTTTTCTTGCTGGAAGTGAAGAAGGTCAAGTCGTATTAAATGTGATAACCCCTTACGACCTCCCGCGTGGGTTTAGAAAACACGCTTACCAATCTCTTGAACTTGTAGCACGAGACAAAGGCCTGATTCTCATGACTTGGGCCCTTCTCTCTTTTTTTATTATGAGAGGCCTAGTTGGGAGATGGATAATCTTAAGAAAGGACAAACGCTGGTGGGCCTGGTTTTACCTTTTTTTTTTCTTAAAAAACTCTTTTTTAAAACCTTGAGACCATTTTTGGCCCGTTTACCAAAATTAGGTACAAACAGTGTTTTGGAAGAGTAATCACACATAATTTCGTGAAAGTCCTCTTGTTCTTATAATGTTAAAACTTGGCCCTCTGATAATAAGTCATGCGATCTTAACAAAGAAAGCAAAAGTTAAGAGAAAAGGTGTAATATATATAACTACTACATAACTACTACAATTTACGTTTGAAAACAAGATGAGTGATACAATATTACTAGGCTTTTGTAATTGACATTAATATATATATCTATATCTATATATATAAAGCAAAAAATAGAGAATGGTAAAACATTCAACTAGTATATATATATATATATATATATATATATATATGAGATTGAAATTTAATTCCTAAAGAACCTATTCAACTAGTAAACTTCACCAATAATGGGGTTAGTTGGATTAGCCCATGTCTTTGAAGTGCTCCCAAGTGGTCTAAATTCAAATTTCCATGATACCCGTGTATGTGAGTTTTTTCCTTCCCCTTCCTAACTTCGGCCATAAAAAGAGAGAAGTAAACTTCATCATTATTATATTCCCCTTTAGTGACAATTTTGTATACATCACAAGACACTTGGCTTTTGCCTTAGATTTCATAAATAAATAAATAAAACCTGCGCCCATACATCAGAAGACACTTAGCTTTTATTTAGGGTTACGAGTAACCTTAGAACACTAGAGTTTCCACCCTTAGTTGAAATCAATGTGATAAACAGGCTGTTTGTTAGGAAAGAACAGCCCCCAGTGTCTCTCAGTCTCTTCTCCAGGTTTCTTATTCTCATTAAACATGGCAAACATATAAGTCTCTATGGGGCCTCCAGGTCTCTTTGGCGTCCCTCCCTTCACGTGCTTGATCAAATTTGAGTTGTAAATTCTCGCATTCCCCTTCGTTGTCACTGTCCCATCCCCGCCAGCCGAGGGCCAACCAGTCTCTGATACGACGATTTTCAAAGAACCGCCTCCAGCCTTCTCTAATGCTGAGTAAGCCGCATCCAAGATTGCATCAAACAGGTTTTGATACCCTAGGCGCCCATCATTCACTACAACTGAGGGAGATGTAAAAAGGGCATACTCAAGTTTAATATCCTTGCGATCGCCAATGTAACTGAAATACGGGTACATGTTAAAGAGTAACGGAGATTTGTTTCGCACTAAGAAACTGATGATCGGATCCAGAAATGGACGATAGTCCTGCCGGAATGAGCCCTCTGATGGAGGGTAGGATTTTTCAAGAATTACAGGGTAAACCGCAGTGGAGACTTTGATTTTGTTTGCAAGACCAGCCTTAAAAATTGCATTTTGAATTTTGTCCATTGCTGGGCCGACAAAGGGTGCTAGAGGACCTACAGCATCTACTTCATTTCCAACCGCAATGTATTTGAAATTGACATTGCCATAGCTTTGGACATTCTTTTTTACCCAATCATCTGCACTGGCTTGGCTAGAAGAAATGTCTTTAAGGCGCTCATTTTCTACACCTAGAATGAGCTCAATTGGGGAGCCTTGGAGGGCTTGGAGTGCGTCAAAGTTAGGAGCATAGAGCCTCATTCTTTGGATGTTGTATTGCTTGTAGAGAGCTATTACTTCTCTTGGTGGAGGTAAGTTGTCTCCAACTGTTCCATAACAAACACCAATACTTGCTTCTGCATATATATGTCAGTTTTTCTTACTTTCGCTTTATGAATAGAAATTTTATAGCATCATATATGTTGAAAAAATTAAATACATATATACATACAAGAGAAAAGCAAAGGCCTGTGGTTTGAAGTGGTTAATTAATTTAAAATAATTTAGACTATCGTTTGTATCAAAAAAAATAAAAGTATGGAAACCATGCACTACAAACTTGGAAGTCATGCATATACAAGGTATACGTGTATATATCTATACTTTTCCAAGTTCCGGTGATGTGCATGTTTTACATTTATATCAAGTAAAAAAAAATATATATATAATAGAATTAAAGAGACAATCAACAATAATTTAAATAATAAGGAAAAGCACAAAATAATATGTTCCCATTTTTTTCTCTCTTCCTATTTCTTGTCTATGTGAGAAAGTAGACAACCTGTTGTGGCAAGAGTAGCCATTAGCAGACCACAAAGCAGCATTATGGAAACCATGGAAGGGCTTTTGCTAACTACATGTGACTTGGCCATTGTGCAAATTTTTGCAGGTCGAAAGTTGAAGTAAGCTGAGAAGGAAAGAGGCACTGCTTTTCCAAGTTCTGAGGTTCCCTCTTTATAGATGGAGCCACAGACTCAAAGATGCACTCCATGGTAATTAAAAAATTATGAGGTTCCCACTTTTCCAAGTTCTGAGGTTCCCTCTTTACCAAGAAATTACGAAATTTGGTACAGCTTGTAGAAAACGTTGCATTAGTTAGCACGGTACTGCTCGAAACAGACCCTATTGAACTTTTCTTCCACAAAAACAAGTGGTGGAGACTCAACTGTATCTGTGTTCATGAAGTCTATGGTCTTCTAACCATGTCTCAACTTGTAGGCTCCACTCTCCATCACTAATGTGCATGTAGACTATGCAAAATTGAAGCCCACACAATGAAAAATCCCTTTTATAATGCCCACACAATGAAAAATCCTTCAATTCTACCTCCATTTCTGACTTCAACATAACTTGAATCTTGTGAGTTATCAATTTCAATCCAATTTTAAGCACCAAACATGACCATAGGGTTTTACGTGTTTATTGTGTTATTTGTTGGGTGAGGATGCATTAATTGTGGAGTTTTTGGCAATACAAAAAAGCAATTTTCAAGTTCAATACTCGAATGAGAAAATTTATGCAATCAGAGAACTTCAATGGACCAAAACTGATAACAAAAATTTCTGAAATAGATCTAATAGTCAAGCAAGCCATGATTATTAGTAATAGAAATAAGAAAGAAAAACTCTAAGCACTATCAGTTGCATTGACTGACTTCAGAGACTTGAATTAATGGTCCAGGAGTATAAGGTTGCTCCTTTCTTACGTTTATTTTGTTATTATTTTGTTTCTACCCGGAACATGTTTCAAATAATTCTGAATATGTGGATTATTATGGAACCTCATGGACTGGAATCTAATCAAAACTGAGAATCTTCTGGATTGGTTGCTGATAAATTATGTGATCGATCATATAGAATTTGTATTCTCATGTCCATTACTGGTGGGAGTGACAAAATTAATTGAGTGAAACTAGTAAAAGACCTCTTAATTTGTATATTGTTTGCAGGAAATTTGTATAAACTCCAAGGCAAATAAAGTTGCACGCTTACGCGACCATCCTATGAATTAATCTACGAATCAAGCAAAAACATACCTTCAATACAAGCCTCTGCAAGTAAGGAGATGCCTTCATCAAAGAAGATAATTAACTAAGACCCCACTGATTACCCACAAGGAAAAAAAAATATTATAACTATAAATACTGACCATAAATTGAATATCCATCATGAGATTTTGTAACTGAGAAAGATAACATGAAAGTTGCAACCAGCTATTGAGGTCATGACTCATGACAGTCACGTAAAAAAAAAGTAGTTTTCATTCATTGATATCACATATTTGGAAAGAAAAAGAAAATAAAAAGACACATATCTAAAATTAAAGTGATTTTCTCAACAAGAAAAAAAGAAAATCATGTGCGATATGATAATTGCTTACAAAAAGCTTTTGTTTTGTTTGGGTTGGGTTTGTAGGAGACACTATCAGAGTTTGTTTCCAGTGAAAGTTCCTTTGCAGGGGGGTAGTTTCAGTTCTATTTGGACTCCAGGGAAAGATTGTATGGTTGTTGTCTTGATGGTAGTAGGTGGCCCAAAATCTGTACCAAACTAGGATCTTTATTACCCAGCTCATCCAGACTTGTTTTGTGCTTATAACTCTCCTCCTCTTCGATAATTGGGAAGAGTAAATGTCTGCCGTCCTTCTACAAGAGAAGTAGTTGGGAGTCATAACTCCAAGCTCCCAAGGAAGCTGGTCACTGTGAATGTTCCGTGGAGGGAAAAGTGACTCACACATGGGTGAGGGAACTCTCATTGTAGAGAGAGAGGCTCTCAATGTAGAGAGAGTATTTTAACGGAGGAGCTGGTTATTAAACTTGAAGAGGCCCTTGGCTTCTCAAGCCTGGAGAGTGGAACTAAATTAATTGGTGCCATCGTAGCTGAAAAGATTCCAAATAGGGGTGCTATCAAGAACATCCTGTCGACAGCCTGGGCTTCCTTTGGGGAGACAAAAATCACATACATGAAGGGGAATGTGTTCACTATCCTTGCCCAGGATGAGAATACGGCGGATAAAATTGTTGATGAGGGTCCATGGTCAGTGATGGGCTTTTGCTTTTCAGTGCAGAGATGGCCAAGTAACATGGCGATTGAAGAAATCCCGACTCACCTGGTTGCTTATTGGATCCAAATTCATGGAATACCCCTTAATCTCATGTCGACCGAGAACGCAGCAGAGATTGGTGGAAAGCTTGGATCTGTTCTGGAAGTTGAAGATCCCTGGAGCATGGGTCCACGAGGCTTCTTAAGGAGCCAAATTCAGATCGATTGTCGAGCCCCCTTAGTTGCTGGGTTTTGGCTTCCAAGAGCTGAAGGCCTGGCCACATGGGTGGAATTGAAGTATGTTTATACCATATTTGACCAAGCAACTAGAAGCAACTCTAGGCAAAGCAAAGAGTCCCACATTGGAATATTACAAGAAGTGGAGGCTCCCCCTCACCTATAAAAGGAGACCACTCTCCCCTTAGAAAAGGATCTTTGGGCTGGGCTTGATATTTAGTCATGGCCTTCTCCTTTCTTACTTTTATATTTGGGTCCAAACCCATGTACAAATGTAAATACACAATATTATAATAATGAGAATATACTTCTCCGTGGACGTAGCCCATTCATTAAGGGTGAACCACGTATAACTTGTCTTCTGTATTTTTATCGCTTGCTCCAATCCTCACACACTTGGTGAAGGTCCTCACCTTCACCCCTCATCCATCACACCTCATCACTAAGTTGGCCTCAAGATGATTGAACCATTTTTGAGCGTCAACAAAGTATGAGAAGCTATCCGATTTTTGCTATGACTGTGGGAGGCTGGGTCACACGAAGAACGGCTGTAAATTTCTGGCAAATCAGGAGGAGGGTGCGGAAACGGCTGCTTATGGTGACTGGATGAAAGCGAGAGCCATTCGGCCAAGGCGAGGCCAGGGTACCTCCATTACCCCCCGGGCTGTCCGCCGTAGAGCAGGGGAAAGAAGCATCGTCAACCTGGTTTCTAGGGTGGCGCGTGTGGGCCACATGCAAATGGAAGGTGGGGGTAGGGAGGAAATTGATGGAGACATTGCACACACAAACCAAGAAACCTAGAGACAACAACAACTGACTGAGCCTTTAAGCAATATAATTATGGGGCAAACGGCAACTTCAGATCACATCTCTGGTTAGGAGGAAAGGATTGAAAGCGATAGCGCAAGAGAAGGGGGCGGTAAGTAGGTTTCACACCCTGACATGCAGATTTTTGCATGGCAAACTAATAGTGTCAGGGGAAGTACTAGCTCTCTAGGTAGGCGTGGAGTGTTTCTAGTTGAGGAGCATAACTCACGCCACTGGGCTTGGCCTGAGAGAACAACACCCATACCTTTTGAGGATAACATTCAATGGGCCCACTCTCAAATATCTTTTGGTCAGCATGCTACCCCAAATTGGGCCTTGCTTGGGCCTTCAGAGAAGGGCCGAAACTCTGTAGCTCTTGAGGAGCTGGATTCCCAACCTGAGAAGGATCTAAGCCAATCAACTCATGTTGGAAAAAACAATACTGACTCAACCCATGGGCCTAGTTTAAACGCCAATGTGGCTTTTGGAAGAATGGGCGTTAAGAGAGAAGCTGAGTCCAGTTGGAGGTTTTTGAAGGAAGGAAAAAAACCAAAAGTCTTGAAAGGTGAAGGGCTAGTTGCTGAGGTAAAGAGTGGAAGGATTAAGCAACGAAGGTTCACTAAAAGTCCAAAAGCTAGGATGACGACGTCACGAGGACAGGTTCCCCAGGTAATTGAATTCTCAGAGGAGGGGTTGAGGGAAGTGGCAGTGGTCTTGGCGCCAACATTGGAGTTGAGGGACTCACATGTTGAAGTTACAAGTGCAGCAGAAACTGGCGGTGGTGGCTGGCCAAAGACAGCCACACGGGCGCCATGAGTTATCTAGCATGGAATTGTCAGGGGCTTGGGTCGGACCTAACAATTCGGTCTCTTCGAGAGACAATAAAAGGAAAGCGACCCTCTATTGTGTTTCTCATGGAAACAAAGTAGAAACATAATAGGTTAACCAGGTTGGCAAGGGATGTGGGGTTTGATCATGAGTTTTACGTGGACCCAGTTGGAACATCTGAGGGCTTATGCTTGTGGTGGGATGACAGGGTTAAAGTAGAGGTTACAAATTGCTCAAAAAATCTTATTGACTCTTGGGTGACTGAGCAAGGGTCGGGTGTAAGATTTAGAGCTTCGTGGGTTTATGGCTCTCCTTATCGGGAAGAGAATGAGGCCTATTAGGGCTGGTTGGATTCAGTCTTGGGGTCTGTGGCTTTTCCTTGGTTATGCATTGGTGATTTCAATGATATGCTTTGGGATTTTGAGAAGAGAGGTGGAAGAAGGTTGGACAACAACAGGAGAAGATATCTACAGGAATTTCTAGATAAAAAATAGCTGGTGGACCTGGGGTATCAGGGCTCGTCTTTCACTTGGAGAGGGATTAGGGCTGACGGAGTGGTTGTGCAGGAAAGACTTGATCGTGGGCTGATAAATGTGCCTTGGCAGGAAACTTGGCCGAACTCCCATGCCATCCATTTACCAGCTGTGGGCTTGGATCACTGTCCTGTTCTAATTCTGACTGAGACAAATGTCAGGAGGGGATTGAAGCCTTTCAAATTTGAGGCGTTCTGGGCATCTGATCCTGAATGCAGAGAGGTAGTTGATAGGAGTTGGGGGCCTTGCTCTCCTGCTGCCTCTTGTTTCTCCTGGGACACTAGGTTAGGAACTTGTAGAACCGAATTGAAAAAGTGGAGTGATGGGAAATTTCAAAACAATCGGAAAATGGCCACTACTCTCCTCTCTAATTTAGACAGTCTCCAACAAGACTGGGAGGAAAATACCATGAAGATCAAGGAAGTGGAGAGAAGCCTTAACCAGGTTTGGAAGTGCGACGAGCTGTACTAGAAGCAAAGGGCAAAAATCCAGTGGCTGAAACATGGTGATGCAAATACAGCTTTTTTCCATAACTGCACAATTCAAAAAAGGCGAAGGAACCGTCTGGGAAGAATACAGAATCTTGCTGGAGAGTGGGAATTAGGTGAGCATCACGTGCGGAGTATAATCGAAGATTATTTTAAAAACTTATTCACGTCTGAAGGGCCAAGAGATTGGGGGGATATTCTTGCTTTCGTTCCTGCAGTTATCTCGGACGACATCAATGCTTCTCTTTTGGCCCCGATCTCAGATGAGGGAATTCGAATTACTGTCTTCCAAATGGGGGCCTTGAAATCGCCAGGACCTGATGGTTTCTTTGGAATCTTTTACCAAAAGTACTGGAGCATTGTGGGAAATGATGTTTGCAGGTTAGTCAAAAAAATTTTCTCCAACAACATGTCTATGGAAACGTTAAACAGAACTGAGATTGCCTTGATTCCTAAGGTTCCCCACCCGGAATGGGTCACACAGTTCCGTCCTATCTCCCTCTGTAATTATTCCTACAAGATTATTTCAAAGATTTTAGCAAATCGACTGCAGCCTTTCCTGGATAAATTCATCTCGCCCCAACAATGTGCCTTCATTCCAGGAAGACAGATCCAAGATAATGTCTTGGTGGCTCATGAAGCCTTCCACTCTTTAAAGATTAGGAGGAAAACAAAAATTTTTGAGATGGGGCTAAAGCTCGACATGAGTAAGGCTTACGATCGGATCGAGTGGGATTTTGTGCAGGCGGTGCTGTTAAAGATGGGCTTTGCTAGACAATGGGTAGGATGGGTCATGAGGTGCTTATCTTCTGTTGAATTTGTTGTTATTGTCAATGGGAAAGTGGGAAGCTATTTCAACCCGACTAGAGGGCTCAGACAAGGGGATCCGTTATCTCCATACTTGTTTCTTATCGTCAGTGATGTGCTCTCTTCCATGATCAATCAAGCCGTTACCCATGGTTTCATCCAAGGAATGAAATTTGGTAGAGGTGGCCCGGTTCTCTCACGCCTCTTTTTTGCTGACGACTCACTTATGTTTCTCAAAGCCACTGAGAATAATTGCCGAGTGATTGTGAGAATCTTGGACTCTTACTGCACGGCCTCGGGTCAGCTTGTTAATTTTGAGAAATCAAATATGTTCTTCAGCCCAAATACGCCTTTAGAGGTGAAGGATAGGTTAAGGGGTATTCTAAATGTCACCATCTCTGAGGATCCGGGAAAGTATCTTGGGCTTCCAACTATATGGGGTCGTTCGAAAAAGATGGCGTTGGCTTTCGTAAAGGATAAAATTCTGGGAAAAATACAGGGTTGGAAGCATGGCTTACTCTCTCAAGCTGGCAGGGAGGTCTTAATTAAGTATGTTGCCCAGGCCGTCCCGTCTTACCCTATGTCTGTTTTCCTCTTCCCGAACGGTTTCTGTCAGGAGATTGACAGTATTTTGGCAAATTTCTGGTGGGGTCAATCTCAGCAATCAAATAAAATTCATTGGATCAGCTGGAAGGACCTTGGCATGCCTAAGAATGAAGGGGGAATGGGCTTCCGCAACCTGAAGGATTTTAATGTTACCTTGTTGGCAAAACAAGGGTGGAGGATGGTGATGGAGCCTCAGGCTTTTTGGGCACAGTTGCTAAAAAGTAAATATTTCCCGAATGGTGATTTTCTCCGGGCCGGGAAGGGGGCTAAGTCGTCCTGGGCTTGGTCTAGCTTGCTGGTAGGAAGGAATATAATCATGAGAGGTGCTAGGTGGCAGGTTCTTGATGGTAGCCGTGTTCATCTTTGGACTGATAAGTGGATCCCTGGGTGTACTGAGCTTGCTCTGCAACCTAGCCATCTAAGCCAGGTGGATTTGGAGGCCAAGGTTGAGACTATTATTGACTGCCAATCTCGTGAATGGAACTTGGAGGCCATTGGTGGTATGTTTTCACCAAATGCTGCCAAAATTATCATAGCCATGCCTTTGGGTGATGGTTGGGAGAAGGACAGGCTTATCTGGCCTCTAAACCAGACGGGTAGTTACACTGTCAAATCTGGCTATAACATGATTCACATGGCTCACCTTGATACTTCGGTCAGGCCATCCAGCTCAAGAATTTTAGACAAGGCTCTTTGGAAGCTGATTTGGGGCTCTCAGATGGTCCCGAAGTTAAAGAATTTTTGGTGGAGATTGGTCAAGGGTTGCTTGCCAACAAGGGATGCTTTGTTCAGGAGACACCTCGGCACCTCCCCATTATGCCCTATCTGTGGGGAGTTTCCGGAGTCTGTTGAGCATCTTTTTCTCCTCTGTAATTAGGTCCAACCTGTATGGTTTGGGGGTCCTTTGAACTGCAGGATAAACAGGCAGAGCATTACTTCTATGAGTGATTGGTTGATGTAGATTTCGAAGTTTTCGCAGGGCTTGGGATATGATCGGAAGTGGCTAATTTCCCAAATTGTTTACAGTTGTTGGAGTATCTGGAAAAGTCGTTGCTCTGCTATTTTTGATGATATTAGTGTGTGCCCTCGCAGTACTTTGTTGGTGGTAAAAAATTTGATAAATGATTTCAATCTTGTGGGGTGTCCTCTTGGGGATGCGATTTTGGAGGAGGATATTGATGATGGCCATAGGGTGGTTAGATGGTCCCCCCCCTCCCACTTCTGTTTACAAAATAAATATTGATGCTTCTTGGGTTAGTTGTACTCTGCAAGCTGGTCTGGGAGTTGTCGTGAGAAATTCGGCTGGCATCTTTATGAGTGGTTGCTGTGGTACTAGACTTGCTTCTTCGGCAATTGAGGCTGAAGCCCATGCTGCTTTAAAGGGGGTCAAGCTGGCTGTTGAAAGGGGGTTTCCAAATGTGGTCTTTGAATCTGACTCAAAGGAGCTCGTTCAATCCGTTAAAGGAAATATTTTGAAAGGGAGGTGGATGATTTATCCTATCCTATCAGCTATTCGACGTCATTGTAGCAGTTTTATTTCTTGCTCTTGGCTTTGGGTCCCTCGAGAGGCAAACCGAGCAGCGGATGCTGCAGCTCAGCGAGCTAGAAGGAGGATGTGCGATGAAGTTTGGGCTTCCAGCCCCCCATCCTCTTTGGTTTATGTGTTGCAAGCTAACAGACTTCCTTGCCCCCCGCAGTGCTAGGGAGTCTGTGCTGGAGGCGGACGGGCTCCCCTTCTGGAGGCGTCATAGCTACTGGTCTCTGGCCTATGTTATTCTAGTTGTTGTGTTTTAGTCGTTGTTGTTGTTGTTTGTTCCCTTTCTTTATGTCTTTGGTTTGTCTGTTTTTCTCCCCTTTGTTGTCTTTCTTTCGCTTTGAATGAAAGCTTTTTCGACCAAAAAAAAAGCTTTTGTTTTATCTGTGCCTGTGATCGCCCTTGGGAATATGTCCAGGCCCAAATCGCCCTTGGGAATATGTGCATGTGATCCCGGTTTTTGCCTCACTCCTCATTTCATATGGACAGAATTTGGATGGGCAAAACCTTTTAGAATTTAGAAACGACGGATGAACCAATTCACAACAATTATCCTTGGCAAAACTTACTCACCTAATAAGAAATCCGACTAACTTTATATTTTCCTTACTCACCCAGGAACGGACTCAGGAATCTTATCTCGTAGGGTCATAGTGTAAAGGTTTGTTGGGAGGTGGAGATTGGGGATTTAGGTTTGAGGGTTTAGGAAATGGGGGTTGTGGAGTTCTGAGGGTCTGTTTCTTTTTGGTCGAAGAGGAGGGTCTGTTTCAACATTACAATCTGTTTTATTTAATTTTTTTAAAGACCTAGACCAAAACGACGACGTTTTGACCAGCTCTTTTAAAAAAAAATTTGTTGCTACTGGTCCAAAACAAAGGCGTTTTGGCCAACGCGTTTTTTAAAAAATTTCGCTGGGCTGGTTTAAAATGACGCCATTTTGGCCAGCCAGTTTTTTTTAAAAAAATTAGAAGCTGGGCCAAAACGACGCCGTTTTGGTTATAAATAAAAAAAACAGAACCCCTGTTCACCTTCTTCTTCCTCAGATCTGCAGCCTCCTCCTTCAGCCATTCATGGGTTCACACACCCATTCAAAGGGACCTTCTACCTTGCTTTCATGGAGTCCATAGAGTTGTTTGACCCCATTGACCCCACTGTGGGTCCGTCCCTGATTAAGCCTCTATATATTTGGCTATTTAGTCAAACAATATGGGTAGAATATTTTCAAATTGTATTTCATTCTCCAAAAGGAGGTATTTATAATACAAGGATGTAACTCTAGTATGATCAAAGTAGAAAACAAGATAAAATTCTAATTATACAATATATGTACAAAACGAAATAAATACAGCAAAGATGTCATGCATGCCCAACTTGTCAAGTGAGTTGAGAAATACCGTAGTAGACACAGCTTTCTTAAGAACATATGTCAGTTGATACTCAAATTTAATGGCATGCAATGAGATGGTATTTGTGCTCATCCTTGACAATTGTATGTGGAAAAATGAGACTCAAAGTTTGGTACATTGCATATATTGCCGACTTCCTCAGGAGACATGATGACAAACATTGTATTGACATCATTTCACTCAATCACACAAAAACATATCCTTTCCCACGATCTAAACAATAAAAAGTAACTATTAATCAATTCCGTAAAATATATAAGAGCATCTCTTACCGAAATGTTAAACTGTCATGTGGAATTCCAACGGTTATAATGGAAGCACAATTTTTTTCCAACCAAAGAGTTTATTCTTAGGTGGAAATGAAGGCTGAAACTATAAACAGTCTATTCTTCTTGTTTTACAAACATGTTGGCTTTATTAATACTTTATAATAAAATAACTCAAATATACCTTATTATGATCCAATACAATGCTTGATTTAACAAATATTTCAAACCCTAAACCCTAATCCTAAATTCCTTCTTAAAACCAACACTAGGGATTGTTTCCCTCATCTTTTTCTTCAAAGAGGAAAAGAAAAAATTCTGTCAACTTAAGCAGTAAGGTGGACGTGAGCTTCGAGAAAGGTTTGCTTCTCTCTTCGACCATTTCCTCAACCGCATCGGTTCCTATTATTCAATTGCCACGTACGTACCCTGGCCTCAAAGGCAAAGCCAATAGAAATTTCAGCCAAGCCAATCCAATATTCCTGCAGAACTTGAAAATTTGGAATATTTTAGGGTTCTGATACAAAACCAATACAATTATTTGACGAACTTCCAGTTAGGATTTGGATACACAACCGGTGCTCGTCAATAAAAAAAACGGAAGAGGAAGAGCATGTATTAATCTGTTAATTTCTAGTTCATCATCGGTGCTCACCTTGTTAATTCTATAATTTATTTTGTCTTCCATGATAAAGGAATGAATTATAATGGAACAAGTGATATAGTGGCTGACGAAGATTGGGATAAAATTGGAAGATAAATGTCAAATTCTATTATCTATTAGTTATTTTTTTTTTAGAGAATCACGATAGGATTTTATTGATAGGAAGGGTAACTAGTACAAAAACCAGGCAATATCGTCGGGGATTAGGTGAGTTTCTCTACACATACGGGTTCGGTCTTCAGTCTAACTGAGTAGCCTTAACCGCTGGATCGCAAACAGGAGCAGGAACCTAACCATTGGTAGAGTACCCTCCGCGGTCCCCCTAAGATCATATACTCGTAAAAACTACTTATTAGGTCATTTGCAGCCATGGGCTAAAAAAAAATTTGGCCACATTTGGCCCTTTAGTCCCTCCAACCCCCCTCATTGTAGCCCAGCTTTGGCCAAGACCAAACTTTTTTGTGGGTCCCATGCATGTGCTTTTCAAGAATAGAAATTATTAAATGTGGGCAAGAGCACGAAACATCTCGTGCAAATGCATATCTAACAGCCAATATTAAAGGCGTGCTGACGTCAGCTAGCCACTAGGATTTTTTTTTTTTTCAAAATAGCATTTTTAGATGTTATCAACGTATATGTGTCATATATGGAATATTGTCTATAAATAGTAGTTTAATTAAATTAAAAAATACATAGTTGTGGAATGTATGAGTATTGTACCATAGTTTTTCTCAAAATAATAAAATATGACGGACCCTGAAATATAGCTTTACATGTCTGAAGATGGAAAAATTTAGCCTTACACTATTCTTTAAAAATTAATATTTTGGAGGACTAAATTTATAGCCCCAAACTACATTTGGCACTATGACTAGACATGACCTTACAATCCTCAAATAAAACATGAACTAAAAAATCTAGAGGTTCCTCGAACCAAGAGATGACCACTCTAATATGTAAAGCAACGAGAACAATGCGGTGAGCAGCCTCATTTGCAATCCGGCGAACATGGATAAAGCCTTCTCCAATGATTTGTGACAACTAAAACTTAGAATCCTTTAAATTAGTTATTGTAAATGGTTACCTATTATCTTATATAACACATGTCAAACTCAGAAATAGGTGGTTAAGAGTATTGGTTATCTGGCATGGGGAAATACTCTTAACCACTTCGCACCTGATTTTTTAATATCATCATTCCAAAGAGTTCTTTGGTGTGGTGAAGTTGGATGTTGAATCCTTTGTGCAATATTTGTGAGAGCTCAATAAGATTGGTCTTCAAGGGTATGAACATATTTCCTCTCTCCTCTTACATTTGAGAAATGTAGAGTCCTGAGCATGTCAACACTTTGAATCAAAAGATCCATGAAAGAGGTTTAGGTTAAAGCTCTAAAATCAACCTGTTGAGGTCAAAAAAAGTCACGGGAAGCCCAAAGATATTTAAAGCCCAATATAACATGTAATGTTGGTCATGCGTTAATTCAAGCTGTATTTTGGGAATTAATTTATTAAATAAATATAGAAATAGTGTACATGACATGCCAAACCAATAATACATTTTTCTTGTACCGATCACCTACCAAGCTCACATGAACCCCAAGTCATGTGGTTTATGGGGCTTGCACGAGGGATTGTGGTGTGGAAGGTTACGGAGGTCCATAAGGCCCACGGAAGCTCTTGGATAATGGAGATTTTGGGCTAGCTACTTGGGAGCACCAAAGTCCCATTACTTAGAGTTCTCCAATGTGGGTGAGCAAATGAGATATTCTTCAAGCACTCCCTATTACCCACTGGAAACAAGCCAATTCTGACACTTCTTTTTACCCATAGGAAATAGTCATTTTTCTATGCCTAACTTTACCTGTTGGAAATAAGAATGTCACAATGCTCCCTTTTACCCGTTGGAAATATATTAGCTCCAACACTTCCTTTTACCTATTGGAAACCAAAGAGAGCCTTCACCTTCTATAAATTGGGAGGCATAGCCCATGCAAAACCAACCCTTCTTAGTTGCTGCAAGCCTCTCAGCAACCGTGAGAATTCACCTTTCTTCAGCTGCTGCAAGCATTCTAGCAGCCATCACAGTCATTTCTGAGCCATCAACCTCAATGCTTTAGCTGCTACAAGCACCGTAGCAACCATCGACCAACATCTCTTGGTTGTTCAAGCACCCCAGCAACCATTAGACCACCTTCCTTCCTCCCTTTGGTTGCTGCAAGCATTCCAGCGGCCTTCCCAGCCATTCCTTAGCCATCACAACCATGTCTTCTACTTTCTCACCCTTGAAATCCATCATATACCTTATAAAGCCTCTCCAATCATAACCTCAAGCTTTTCCTTCCTTCCAAGCTATAAACACCATAGCCTTCAAACCTCAAGCTTTTCCTTCCATCCTCCTTCTCTTGAAACTCTTAAATCCATAAAGCCCCACCAAGCATAACTCCAAGTTTTTCCTTCCTTCCAAGCTATAAACACCATAGCCTCCAAACCTCAAGCTTTTCCTCCCATCCTCATTCTCTTGAAACTCTTAAATCCCCATAGCCATAGTCATAAACCACAAATCATCAACACCCAAACTCAAGCATATCCAACACCAAGCCAAACACATGCATTCTTATTTGCTAAACTTGTGGTTCTTTAGCTCCCACACTCCAAGCTCTCATGCCAAGCTCACACAATCTTTGTTCAACATTAGCAAGTCATCTTCAACCATTCCAAAAGCGCGACTAAGCATTCGTCAAGTTGCTGGAAATCTACTCAAGCCACTTATCCTTCTCCTGATGATAGTTAAGATACGCTCAGTGATAGTAAGAATACGCTCAGTGAAGGGGCCAAGGCTTGGCTTTGTCCAAGGGGCTGATGGCTGCAATGGTGCTCATACTCAAGACGTCAGACCTTCTCAAAGAGGAGTTGCATGGCAGGGTTGGCATGGGGAGAGAGCATCGGGTGACGATGACTTGTTTCGTTGGTTGGGTGAGGGTGGAAGGTTTCCCATTCCTCGAAAGCTTCAGAATGATAAGGCTCCCAGTCCTTAGGATTGTAAGATTCCCAATCATCTGAGTCCCCCACTCATTCTTGGGTAGGCAAGTGGGCGGGCTTCGGGAGGGGACCTAGGTGTGCCACCCTTAGATCGTCGAGGTCGACAAGAATAGGGATGGGCTTTGGTCGAAGCTCCGAGATGCGGTCCCTGCAATCCTTGTAAATCTTGTTTGGGGCATGAGGCCGATCCCTTAGTGGGGAGATGTGGAGGAGCCTCGACTTGGTCGCCTCTAGATGAAGGTGTCCTTTGCCTTTGTTAGGCCTAAACTGAGTCGGGGCACTATGGCAGGAGACAACTGGCTGTTTCAGTTGGGTGCGTTCAGCACCCTGGGTGAGGTCCTGCTGGATGAATTAGTGGTGAGTGTTCTCCCAATTCCGCTTCAAGGTTCGACAGTCATGTTCTAGTTCGGCATTCTTGGTACGAAGGTGATCATAGCTCTCCGTGATCTTGGCGACATCGGCACTAGGCCCGGAGGTGCTTATAGGCAGAAAGCTTCTTTTGAGATGAGTTCCCATGTGGGGTGGGGTGTTGGGTACCAAAACTAGCTTCACTCGGCATAGTGGAGTGGGAGGGGCAGAAGAGGCAACAAAGTCGGATGAGAGAAGAAGCCAACAGGACTGGTGGAGAGGTGGGATTCAGAAGTCGATTCTCATAAACAACGCCAAACTGTTGATGCTCTTTTTAGGATGGTCAACTTAAGTGAATGAGTGGTGGATCTTCAGCAGGGCGAGAGGGCTATTAACCTTCGACGCGGAGGGGTCCTACAGAAGACAATAAGGAAGAAGTAATCGTCAAGCTTCGGGCACGGGTGTGGTACCTACCGAAGGCTTTCCGATGCTTAAGTCAGCAAGTATATGTTTTAATTTTGGCAGAGTAACAGTAAAAGTGAAAAGTAGTTACCCCTTTTTACTTGGGCACTGTTCCTTATTTATAGAGAAGTGAAAATGAGAGATTTGTACAAAGTTTCGATGTGGGACTTTGTGTAGATTGTTGTGGGGGTGACGTGTGTCTGTAGTCTTATGTTCTGTAGTCGAAAGCTTCAGTAACTACCTTCAGCAAGCAGTTGTTGCCTCGAAGGGGCACCATGGTGTTGCTGATGTTATCTTTTGCAGGCTTGCGCTGTTCATGCTTCGATTCCTAGTGCCGAATGTACTCGATTGAATATGGTATAAACAATACAATATTATTAAATTTTACTGGGAAGTTACAACGTAAAGGGTGAGGATTTGTATTAAGTGAAGGTAGAAAGAGTGACTCGTACAAAGAGGTTCGGATTAATAATTGAAATGATGTTTTGAATACAAGAAATTATTAGTGGGAGAAAGGTTTCTCACACACTCTACAAGGATGTCATAATTCGAATTTGAGAGACCACTACAAGTTAAGGTCCTTTTTTACTGGGCTAGATCCGTTGGCTATTATTGACAATTAATTTTGAGTTTGTTGCTCATATCCTAATTGAAAATCCCCTCATATAAATAATTAATTTTGATAGAATTGTTTGCATATAAAAATTAAGTTATATTTTTCATTTGATTTGCAGGGACCACCCCGAACATTTTTCATTCTGGAGTTTAAAAAGAAGACATGATCGAAAGACCATAACACTTTAAATCCCCACCACTTGTCTTCGTGGAAGATTACTAATATTGCAACAATTTCTGCTAGTTGTACGAAATCTTTTGTAGTTTTTGTGGAATTATATATTTATCTTGGAAATTTTTCACTAGCTAATGGAGAGGAAATGCATGTTGCTACTCATTGCAATTGCTAGGCTACTTAAGATACCTTTGCAATCACTTAATAGTAATTAGGTTGCCAACAAAAGGGTATATTTAGGTTGTTCTTTTCTGTGATAAAAAGTGATATTTTATTATTGATACTAAAATGGAACACGAGCCAAAAGAATTAGACGAGTTTCTCTATGCATAAGGGAAAAGTCATTAGACTAACCAGTAGTCTGCCCTCCCCTCACCTTGCCAGGCGATTACAAAGAACCTTTATCCCCTGATAGAGTACCCTCATGATCATTATGATTCACATTATTCATTACGTTTTTGACAGGACCCGCCCCGGAATTTCTCCCCAAACCGGGGCGGACCCCGTATTGTTGCCGACATCTCACCGATGCCGGGCCCATTTACTAAAAACCCAAGACATCCTACCAAAATTTTGGCAGAGTCTCCCCTGTAAGATGCTCAAACCCAACAACATTCAACCTGCATAATTTACATAATATAAATCCCAACTGCCAGCATGCTTTCAACATACAACAATCCAAAGTAAAGTGGCCTCCGGCCTCAAGTAACACCTAACATGGGCGATAACAGAGCATCTAACAGAATTTGTTTACAACAACAGTAGAGTAGAAGGAATTTACACGAACCCTATCTACAGATGAAATGTTTGGAGCTCGGAAACCGCTCGAACGCTTCCAAATGCCACTACTGTCTGGGGGGCGCAAAACGGAAATATGTGAGTGGACAAAAATAAAGTTTGCATTTAAAACAACATAGTAACCCCACCATGTAAAAATAATGCTCAAGCATGCAGTCTCCACATCCATAAATCAAATACTCAAACATAAAATCTCCAAGTCCAATAACTCTCAAAAATCTCAAACCACAACTCCATTCCCACAAGTATGCAACTCTCACCAACCCATACATATGTATACCTATATAAGTATATATTTATATATATATCTATAATATAACGTATACTTCTCTCCATACTAATGTACCGGGGAAGACAATCCAACCGGGGGATTGTTGGCTGGTACGCAGGATTTTCGAACCAGAACCCGCGTCCAGGGATGAGTAGTCCAACCGGGGGACTGAACTCCAAAGCTCACACGCCGGCACTGCCAACGCCACGTGTAGCTCACAAATCTCATATCAAGTCCTACGCGCGCAGACAGTATCATCCCCACACCGGCACTGCCAACGCCATGTGTGATGATACTAAGCAATATACATACTCTTCCCATACACCGGCACTGCCAACGCCATGTATGGGACCAGCAATCTCATGACCTTCCCACCACACCGGCACTGCCAACGCCATGTGTGGGAAGCCTAGTAACCAGGGAATGGTACTCACCTAACATACTCATACATCTCACAACCATCCCTCAAACTCATATCTTTCCACAATCTCATAACAACAACTCCTCATACTCCATACATAGCACAATCTCACCACATCAACTCCTCATACTCTATATATAGGCAATATAGATAGACATCCCAAAATCCATATAAACATATCCATAATACTCAAACATAGCCATACTCAAAATATATTGCCAATACGTATATGAATATCCAAAGTCATCAACCAAATACTTAATAAATCACATTTCCATTTAAAACATATGCACAAATCTTTTATCAATAAAACCATGCAAATGCTTGAAAACAAAGTCCACTCACAGGTAATCCCACGCTGCCCGGCCCCGAGAGGGTCCTGCCTGCTGCGAACGATCGACCGAAGTACCTATTTCGAGATACGAACCCTTGATTAATATAATACCCTTCGAAACGGGAATTCACAAAAGAGAATACTTAAATCCCCAAGATCCCGGTGCGTGTACGTCCAATAGGATATCCTTACAGGTTTGGGAATCGCTTCCCATCCTACGGTTATCGTTAATCCCACAAACTTTGAATTATTGAATCGGAACATCCGGGGCTCCGATTCACGATCCACGAATTCCTATAGGATTCTAAGAGTACCTAAATCAACATACTTCAACTTGGAAACGATCCAACGGTTAGAACTTATCGAACCCGAATAACGCACAATATGCGAAATCCGTTCGATAGTCAAACGACATCCAAATTGAGATCCGTAAAATCCTACGCACTCGTGACAACCTACTGATCTCATCAGGATAAAAAGCAACTTCACCAGCCTTGCCCACGCGCCGCCACACGCGCCGGCAGCGCGTGGGTGTGTAGAGAAATTTCCGGCGACGGAAAATCTCCACACCAACGCTCACCCTTCCTACCCTAGCTTCTTCTCAAGGTCAGGATCACTTTATTCAACTACCACGAGGTCCAATTCGCACGGGAACTGGCCGGAATTTCCAATTGAAAACCGGCCAAAACCTAGGTTTCCAATTCGGTTCCAAACTCAAAATCGATCCAAACCTACCCCACAAACAGCTAGAGCACGTAAAAAGGAGAAGAAAACTCACCTATTTACTCGACGGACGGCGGAGACGCGGCGCAACGTCGTGAAAATCCGGTTTGAACCAGTCGGAACTGACGTCGGGATTCGAGGTTTCCGGCGGGGAAATGGGGTGGGTTGTGATCGGGGCTTCGAGACGAGTCGAACGGAACCGGTGCCGGCGCTTCCGTTGCCGGAAGTGAGAGAATCGAAGAGAGGAGATCGGTGTCGGGGAGAGAGAAACGGAGGTAGAGAGACGCGGAGAGAGAGAGAGAGAGAAAGTGAGGGGTAAAAGTGAAAAATCTGATTTTACCCCAAACTCTTCGAAATAATTACGGTTCCGCCACCGAACTTATTTGATCGCCAAAACTTCATTACAACTCCGATTCAAGCCTACCGCCTGTCTACGGTTTCGTCTCAGTACCACCTACGCAACCAAACCACTCGTGGTCCCGAAATCCTTCCGGATAAGAAAATGACCAAAATTACCCTTAACCCAAGAGTAAATTAATAATTCTCTTAATTTAATTAAAATAGGAATAAATTTGGAGTCGGGGTGTTACAATCTACCCCCCTTATAAAAATTTCGTCCCCGAAATTCACGTACCTTTCAATGGAAGAGATAAGGGTACTTGGCCCGCATTTGCTCCTCGGGTTCCCAAGTAGCTTCTTCAACAGTTTGACTTCTCCACAGAACTTTCACTACCGGGATGGATCTAGAACGCAACCTTTGTTCTTTCCTATCCAAGATCTGTACTGGTTGCTCTTCATACGATAAATCTTCTTCTAACTCCACAGGTTGATATTCTAATACATGAGAAGGGTCTGGCATGTATTTCCGGAGCATGGATACATGAAACACATCATGTACTCGAGATAGTTCTGGGGGTAATGCAAGTCTATATGCAACAGGTCCAATTCGCTCCGTAATCTCATAAGGTCCAATGTAACGAGGGCTTAACTTCCCACGTTTCCCAAATCTCATCACACCCTTCCAAGGAGATAATTTCAGGAACACCCAATCCCCAACTGCAAACTCAAGATCCTTAGACCTGTTATCTGCATAACTCTTCTGTCGGTCTTGTGCAGTTTTCAACTTCTCCTTTATCATCTTCACCTTCTCATTTGTTGCTCGGATACTATCCACTTTTTCCAGTTTCTTGTCACCCACCTCATTCCAACAAATGGGAGTCCTGCACTGCCTCCCATACAACGCCTCATAAGGAGCCATCCCAATACTTGAATGATAACTGTTATTATAAGCAAACTCCACCAAGGCAAGGTGAACATCCCATGCATCCTTAAACTGTAACACACAGGACCTCAACATGTCCTCCAGAGTCTGGATAGTCCTTTCCGATTGTCCATCGGTTTGTGGGTGAAAAGCGGTACTGAACAGCAATCTAGTACCCATAGCTTCTTGTAAACACCTCCAGAATCGAGAAGTGAACCTAGGATCCCTGTCCGATACGATGGACACAGGTGCTCCATGCAATCTCACAATCTCATCCACAAAAAGTTTTGCC